TTGACTAGTTTTTGACAAGTATTTTTCTGAATCTCACAAGATTAGTGAGTCGTGCTTCTCAAAAAAATAAAAACACACAAAAAGCACATTGCTTCCGCTAACTTAACACAACCATTTCATTGGTTAATGGTGTAACAATATGTTAATTGAATGTAACGACGATGAAAAGAAATAACTGATGCTATGAGAAAACCAACATAAAAATAATATAGCCTCTGGAAGTATTCAACACAATTACACCATAGAGTGTCAGGTGAAAATGTCAGACTGGTCACTTTTGAATCTCGCAAAATCACTTTAATCACCTGTTATGTTGTGATTGGTTGTCTCGTAAACACTTCACTCACTTAGCCATTTCCACGTGAATATATTAGACACATCATCATCTCAAGTCACGTCGATCCTTTCATCACTCCAGATATGCGAGTCTTTCGGACGCGCGTGAAATCCATGAAGTTTTGCGATCACTTTTGTCCCCCGTTTGCATTCATTCACCGGGTCACGTGACATCGATTACTTCAGGATTTCAGGTGATGTTTTGGGTTGTTTTTTGTTGTTAGAGCAGAAGGAGAATACCACGAAGAAGAACTAGTGCGTGCAGCGCCTTCTGCATCGTCCGCTGGCTCCCTGCAGAGGTTGTACTCGCGACTTCTGCAGAGAGGAAGGAAGAGATAGAGGTAGGGTGGGTTTTAAGTCACCTTGATAGTAGACACGTATATGCACATACTAGCAGGTACATAAACAAAAAGAACAACTATCCGCACATACAAGGAATTACCCAACCAAATTCACGCCCACAAAAATAAGACCGGTAACCCCCCCCCCCCCCTTCATACACACAAATCCCTCCCCCCTCTTTCTCTCTTTCTCTCTAACTCTCTCTCTCTCTCTCTCTCTCTCTCTCTCTCTCCCTCTCTCTCTCTCTCTCTCTCTCTCTCTCTCTCTCTCTCTCTCTATCTATCTATCTCTATCACTCTTTCCCTGTCTCTATCTATCTATCTATCTATCTATCTATCTATCTATCTCTGTCATTTTCTTTTCCCCTTTTCCATCTCCTTCCCTCCCCTTCCCTGCCCTTCACTCCTCTCAAACGTCCCCCTCTCCTCACCTGTCACTCCACCCTTACCCATTGCAAAAAAAAAAGGAAAAAAAAAGAAAAGAAAAGAAAGAAAGAAAGAAAAAAGAGAGAGAGAGAAAAAAAAAATATGTATATATATACACACATACATCTATAAACAGGAAAACATGACCCACCAGGATAAAGAGGTCGTGGCAGAGGGTCACTCGGCGGGACTGCCTCCTGCACGTAGCGGTGGTGGGCAGAGTCTGTGGCTGGAACACCCGACGGACCGGCTGAGGAACCTAGAGGATGGCGGGTGGCGATTAGGTAGATTGATTATACAGGGATAGTGATGATGATAATACTAAGATAATGATAAATATAATGATAAAAGTAATGATAATGATAATGGCAATAATAATACAATAATGATCATAATAATAATACAATAATGATCATAATAATAATGGTAATAATGATAATAATAGTTATAAAAAAAAATAATAATGATCATGATGGTAATAGTAATAATAGTATCAATAAAGATAAAAATAACAATAATGATGGTGATAATAATAAAAAGGATAATGATGATAATAATGATAATGTATCAAGTATAACATATTGCATTTCCTTTCCCTGAATATCATCATGATTAGGTTTCATACTTTGATCATATTTCTTTAACTTTACATATATGCGTTGTACCTTCAAGGGAACTAATACGTTAATTTAGAACATACTGATGGCGTGGAAATGGATGACCAAAATGTGTTGACTGTTGCCCAGCAACAAGAACGTCAGAAATTGTTCGAGTGTGTTATATGTTTATTTATATCAATATCACAGATGAAAATAAAGAAAATGATTTGCTTGCAACATTTAATCTGACTTATATTAAAGTCTCTGGGTTCTTTGTTATCGGATATGATCTGTGTTGCTTTATATGATTTTTTTTTCTTTTTTTACGAGTGTGACAAGGCTGAAACTGAGCTGCTTGCATGTTAGAATGTTCGAATGAATATGACAGAAGCACAAGGGAATCTGAATACAAAATCAAGATCAACAATTTCTTCATATTGCTCGCATGTATCAAAGGAGAAAGAATACTTATAAATAAAGTATAAGTTGTTGGATATCCTGCATCCTCCTCCAGACAAGCACATTGTGTGTGATGTCGACATGCATATGTGATAGCTGTCCCTTTGTAGTATTTGATCAGAATCTTACGTCAGAGGGCTGTGATTCAGGTGATGTCATTGGCTGCAAGAATTATGTTCATCGTCAATTCTAGAGGTATGTCAGAGATACGGATATGAATATTGTTTACGTAATCATCTGAGGTGTTTTGATAAATTAAGTAATGTTATTATTATTTCTCATATATAGATGAAACACATCGTATTTCTTTGCTTGGAAATTTGAAATTGTTCCTGCTGCTAAATAATATAGAGTGTATTGTGCCGTGTTCAGGGAGTATATCGTGTTAATACGAGTTTGATATGATTTATGCAAATCATCAATAT